TGATTGATATATGTGAATCATCAGACTATTTAAATCTCAATGATTTTTATGAAATTCATTAAAAAATAAACATCAGATATCCCATGTCCACTCAATGACGACAAATTAACACAAAAAACCAAGTTAAAATACTAACGATGTAACAAAAGCACTCCAGGGTAGGAACCTTCACGAGCAGAGATATTTGCGCCACCACCTGGTACACAAGCAGCACACACCAACATGCATCAACCCTTTAGTTTGATTTAAAATTTTTTCCCCAAAAAGGAGCCACGTGTGCGGGATAAATACCAAGAATAAAGTAAAAATACTCGCTATGGCTCTCCCAAACCCAGGATGGTCCGGTTTTAGAGCATTTTTAAGGAATTCGATATATTGCTTAGCCTGCTCCATTAAACAGAATGTCTTGTCAAGAACTTTCTTCTTTTCGCTAATGGTAGTCGTGCTCTCCATTTCTTGCTGCTGCTACCGTAATCACACATGCCAGTAAATAAACCAAAAAAATGAGTTAATTAAGCAGGTCAATAGTCACAAACTAACCACACATCAAGGGCATGAAACCGCGGACTATTATTAAGTGTGTGTGAAACTACTACTTGAGATAGCCTGTGTCTGTCAAGTTAATTTGAACTGGGCTGCCAAGATCATCCAGCATCATGATCACATATAATGAGCCCAGTTTTAATGCATTAGTTAATTTTATGCATGTGAATCACAAATATCAATTTGTTCTCAATAAGTTCTCAATTAATTTCAGTAACAAATAAAATCCGTTTATCTCCCTTCCACTGAATGACAACCAATTAAGTATGAACAATTCACGAGGATCAAAAACCAAGTTAAAAAGCATACTCTGAAACAAGAACGCATGAAACTAGCTTTCATGAGCAAAAACATTTGCAATATTACCTGGTACACAACAAAGACACCATCATGCATCAAGTCTTATAGTCTTACCTTAATTTTTTTATCCATTAAGAAAAAAAGAAAAAAAAACTACACATACAAGATACATACCGAGAACAAAATTAAAATACTCCCTCTGAAGACCCCTTTTACAGCTTTGGTATGTGCTTCATCTTCTTGACAAGTCTGTTAGGACCGGCCCACGAAATAGACAAACTCAAGTTAGAACAAAGTAGGCGGTATAACCGACCATATAAAAGATAGGCGGTAGATACCAGCCATATAATAATTAGGCGGTAAAACCGACCATATAAAAGGGTTGTGTCAATCCAATAAAGACAAATAATAAAGCAAATAAAAGACACAGAAGATTTACGTGGTTCGGTCAAATTGATCTACGTCCACGGGCGAGGGAGGAGCAATATTTCAACTATGAAGAAAAAATACAAAAGCCGTAGGAAAATGGTTCCTAGGCCAAAAGGCACTTATAAAAGGTTTAGGAAATATTCCTAAACACAATACAAGAGAGCATAAAATATTTGACTAAATGGACTAGATGACTCAAGAAACTAATAGCCCATATAACTCTCTTGAGTGGTGCAATTAATTCCTTCAATAGGCTTCCTTATTTATAACCTTCAGCAGCCGACTTTTCCTTGCCATTGTTTGATGTGGGATGAAAAGAAGAAAACTTCCTTACGCAGCATCTGATGTGGAACGAAGAATTTTGCCACACAAGGTCAAACCTTGCGGCTCAACAAAGTCAAACCAGACCTTTCATCTTGAGAAGGCCAATTAGGCATTTCAAATTGAAAAGTCCAATCACAATTTGTCACGCCCCGAGCCCGCACGTGCCCGTCACATGACATCCGCCGTACTCCCAAGTTCCACTCAAGAATACAAGGCTACATTAACTAAGTTAACCTTGACAGTACTAAATAATTTAACTAAATAAAGTGTGGTATGAATTACATATAAGAGAAAGTCTACGAAGATCAAGACGTTCGTACATTTATTCTCTAGTAGAAACAGCGGAAACAAAGGTAAGTAAGACCAACAATTGGACATAGCCAGCCTGCCAACTTCTATTCATCTAAAACTAATAAAAGTCATCCTCAGGATCTCTACGTAAACCAATTCATACTCTTCAGAATATGCAAAAATGGTAAGAAATGGGTTGAGCGACACATCGCTCAGTAGGTAATATTTACCCCTCTGTTGGACCATGCACTCATAATTTTATAGATACATATATATAAGTACAACTCAAATCGTTTGCATATCATTCACATCCGTAATTTTCAAAGTAACGTTATTTATACAGCAATCAGTAGTAAAGAATGACAAACAATTTAAAAGCATCTTATTGATAGTTGTACATGAGAAATCGTAAAGTCATAAATCATTTCGTCTCAAGTTACAAATCTCTTCATATCCATTCGTAAATCAACTCATATCAGTTATAAGTCTCATTTCAAATCAGTTCATAAATCATTCCGTCAGATCAGCTCATAACAAGTACATGCAATGACCGGCTACTGAGTACTCAACCTAGAGATTAGATCCCTTCGAGGTGGGCGACCAATAGATTTCATGACTATCGACTGATCTCATTTCATTCTTGGATCAATCGGCCGGACTTTATACCAGAATACCATGACATTGTCAATCGGTTGGGCTTTATACCAGGCTACCATGACTTTGTCAATCGGTCAATCGGCTGGGCTTTATACCAGACTACCATGACTTTATCAATCGATCAATCTGCTGGGCTTTATACCAGGCTACCATGACCTCATCAATCGGCCGGACTTTATACCGGGCTACCATGACGATTAGACAGGACTATAACCCCTACCGTCTATTCCATGACCGCTCTGAACTTTACTTGTCAAAATTCATTTCATATACCGTATACATAAATTTTTGCTTTCATAAAAGATTCAGCTCATTTTGTATATAAGAAACGTATCAAAACATTTCAAATACGTCACATGGTCCATTTTTGTATAGTAAAATATAACTTTCATAAATATCTAAGCAAAGCATTTAATCAAACACCTTTCGAGTCAACACAACAAAATAGGATTGAAAACAAGGATTTCATTTTGTACATTTGAAATCTCAGAAGGGTAAGTACCACCTACCTCTGTTTGGCTACTCGAGTGGAACTACCTTAGGTCCTTGTATCGCACCTATCAAATGTATAGGTTCCCTAATTAGTTGGTACTTCCTATAAATGCATAAATATACAACCTCTAAGTAAGTACAAGATTCATATCTAGATCATTATATGGACCCTAATAGCATTCCTCTCAAATTGGATGATTTCTATTTTTAGAAAGTTTCCTAATTTGGAAAGTTTCTATTTTTAGAAAGTTTCTTAATTTGGAAAGTGTTCATTTTGTAAAGTTTCCCAATTTAACAGAAAATAATTATTCATAAGCATGCTTATTATCTTGACTATTATCTTACTATATCAATTTGTAATTTATAATTATTCCTTATTATTATTATCGTTATTATTAGCGTTATCATCCACATTATTATTTACCGCTATGATTATTATCGTTAGCGTTATTATTCGTACTATTATTACCATTATTATTATTATTTTAAGCATTTCGTTTAACAATTTAGAACTTATCTTACCTTGTCTAATTTGGCTTAATACGGCTAAACTACGGTGTTTTAGATTTCCATTATAATATCTTATACGTAATTAACTAAGTATAACTTTACATGACTAACCCTTCCATTCTAACAATTGCCTTAAATTGGGTCTTGCATTTTAACATTCACAATATACTATAAAAATGGGCTAGTTATATTTAAAATTTATTTATTAAACATTTACTAAATTTTTATACTATAGTTTGGTCCAAGTTTAAATTGCCTCCCTTTCCACTTATTTATTTTTGTTTATTGTTATCATTTTTTTTATTTCGGGTGGGACCCATGGTTGGCCAAAGGCCAACCATATCTGACCATGGTCGCCATGGTCCCCCAATTGATTGGCCGAAAAGGCCAACCACAATTGCTCCATTGTCGCCAGCACTTGCTGGCGACATCACCATCATCTTTTTTTTTTCTTTACTTCGGTCTTGGCCAACCTTAACAAATTCTTTCTCGGCCGCTAGAGATAGCGGCCCCCCCACTCTTCCCTTTTTGTGTGTGTGTGTGGCATTGCAGAAGCAACGCCAAGCCGAAACGGAGCAGCGACAGCTCTTCTTTTCCCTTCTTTTTTTTTCCATAGATTCAAACACCCTCTAATCTCAAGATTTAAATCAATCCCCTCTATTTCTATTAACCCAGATACGAATCTTATCAAAACATATATAATCTACACCTACATAGCAACAATACATGTCCATAAAATTCCTAAAACAATTTATACAGCTACTAAAACTTAAAAGAGAGGTTTTCTTGCGTAAACTCGAGACTTACAGGTTTAGGTGCCTAGTCGTCGGATCGATTGACGATGTTGCCTGCTTCTCTTTCTCTCCTCTCTGATGGCTCTTGCTCTAGAAAGGCAGACGAAAGAAAGGTAAGGTTGGGCTTATTTTTTTGTCTAGGGTTTCAATAAAATCCTAAACCTAGCACTACTTATATTAGTACCCCTTATCCCATCTTACAGTTACTTATTTTATTTTTTCCCTTTTACTTAGTAACCTTATCTTTTTAATTATTGAGAGAGAAATAAAATAAAATAAACTAAAATAAGGTAATAAAATCGGTGCCAATGGTCGTGGGTTTCACACTATTTTTATCTAGAGTAGTCGAATTCAGTTTTTGAAAAGTCCAATCAGAATTTTTATCTTTAGAACTCCAATTAGGTTTTTTATGTTGAAAACTCCGATCAGAACTTTTATCTTGATAAGTCGAATTAGAATTTCTGTCTTCAAAAGTCCAATCATGTAACAAGTATTTATCGTCCAGATATTTCTCTCTGCTGCTGATGGTGATCCTTCCTACCATTTCTTGTTGCCACTGCCACAAGCACAGATGTACGCATTCAAGGAGTACCACTTACACCTGATTTGACCGATTTCATCATCAGTTTTGACAAAGGGATCTGTCCGGATAAAATTTCGATGAAAATATCCATTGTCGAAGCCTGGGGAACATTGTCCAATGATGAGGAGATCGCTTATGCTCCACAACTTAAGCAGATGGTCTTAGTTACTCCTCAATACGACGAGTGGCTCAGAGAATCTAATGCCGAGCGACCACTGATGGGACAATCCGAGGAAGTCAAGAAATTAATGGCTATCATTGAGGCGAAGGACAAAGAAAATGCGCAATTAAGGCAATCTGTGGAAATGAATAAAGGTCTGGCAGAGAAGAATAAGAAATTGTGTGAAGAAATGCAAAAAAGATACCAGGAATTGAAAAAGAAAGTGTGACAAGTTGTATGTTCAAATTGAACGCATGCAGAATCCTTATTCCAGAGAGTCAAAAGATGCTGTGATAGATAGATTGAAAAAGTTTAATGATCTTGTACGAAATCAACTTCAAGAAATGATGTAGATGATGTATGAGATTACGAAGTTCATTAATGAAATGATCTTTATCTTCTGTAAGGTTATTTTCAAAACACAGGTTTGGTGAACAGGCCTCACTACGAAGGTGTTGCATCATATTAGGCCTACCCTTGGCAGAAAAAGGCTCCCCCATAGGACATGCATCCGAATTATTTAAATATATGCTAACTCATTTTTTTTTCTTTTTCTTGAATAAATTACAGTAATTTGACAGAAAATCCATTCCTAAATCAGTTTCTTTTCTCCACTATCAGGTATTTCTCACAATAGCTACCCAAAGAAGGCCCATCATCACCAGATCTCGAAGTAGAGCCTTGAGACAGCCTGCAAACACGAGTTCAATACCAGAAACTTCAGAAAGATCTGCTATGGTTACGTCACCGGACTTCACAGCATTGAGAGCTCAGTTAAATGAGGTACTTGGCAAGTTCAATGAGTTAAGTACTGAAATGGCCGCACAAAGGTGTGTAATTGATCAGTTGATCGCAAGCAGTAGTGGTGGTGTCCTGAACGACCAAGAACTTGTCGATAATCATCCATCTGCACATGACCATCAATCACCCCACACATCCAATGCCCAAACAACTTTCCTTCCTCCCTTCGCTAATCCTCTTGAAAATACCTTTACCCGACTAAACTCAGACCTTTCCTATATGCATCCGAATTATATATTGATTAACCCAACCAGTAACCAAATCCCTCAAACTCATCCACAAACCAATCTGAACGTTCCCCCTAACCCTTAGGAATCCCACCACCACGTTGCAGAGCCTTTTGTGTTGGATACTGCATCTCAAGGGAAGGCGGCGATAGAAGAACAACCCGCACCTATAGACAAGGATCTGTTGAGAAGGTTGGATCGATTCGATGATTTTATGAAGCAGAATCAAGGATTGAGCAGACATGGTGGGTTGGACTACGATGAATTGTGTCTTTTCCTAAATATTCAGCTACCATTGGGATTCAAAACTCCCAAATTCAGTAAGTATGATGGAACCGAAAATCCTAAGACACATCTCAAGATGTTTGGCAACAAGTTGGGTAAGCCCGTGGATGATGAAAATCTGCCTATGCGTCTATTTCTGGAAAATTTAGAGGGAGATGCTCTAGATTGGTATTCAAATTTGAAGTCTGGAGAGGTCAAAACCTGGTTGGATTTGTTAACAGTTTTTGTGAAGCAATATGAGTTTAATTGTGAGTTGGCACCGACACGAACAACACTGGAGGGTACCAAAAGAAAGCCATCGGAAGATCATAAGACCTATGGAAAACGGTGGAGAAAGTTAGCTGCCAAAGTGCAGCCTCCTATGACTGAGGAGTAGATTGTTCGTATTTTCATCAAGACTCATGATCCACCCTACTTTGAAGAGATCTTTCGCATGACTGGAAGTTCGTTTGCTGCTATTATTAACAAGTTGGAGGAATACGACGAGTTTGTCAAAGCAGGGAAGATTGTTAATGTATCGGCATTGAAGTTGCAATTGGATGCTTTACAGAATCAAAACAACATTGGGAAAAAGTCCCAATTCAAGAAGAAAGAAGGAGAAACTACTTTTATATGGGATCAAGGCCTATTTTTCAGACCCAAAAACCATCCCACCTATTCTGTTCCTTACCCGTATTACACCAACCCTCAACCAGTCTACCACACTACTACCCAACTCCATCATTCCTGATCAAGTTACTTGAATACCTCACCGTTACCTCCAACTCCACAACCTATCTTTCAAAGTCACTCCCGTCCCAATAATCATTCCAGACCAACCCTGCAAAATAATAACCATTCTCAAAATCTTTTTCAAACCAAGGGAGTTCAAAATCAAAGGCAATTCCGAACCTTCACCAATTTGGGCCGACCCATTGATCAATTGAATGAGCAATTAAAAGCAGCTGGAAAAAGTAGCACTATTCCTCCCAAACTCTATCCCAGAGGTCCTCCTGACGGTTATGATCCACAAGCAATCTGTGCCTATCATTCTGGAAGTCCAGGTCATACCATTGGCAATTGTTAGGCTCCTAAACATAAGATCCAGGACATGATTGATTCTGGAGACATCCTTCTTAGAAGAAAGGGAGAACAAAGACCCATGTCAGTAAGAATCCTTTATCTGAGCATGGAAGCACTGTAGGAATTATCATCGCTGATGAAGATTTTATCGATCCCACTCAGTACATTGTAGATGAAACTGAGGTGTTTGGTGTAATGGAAACTGACCATGCAAGAATGGGAAAATCGCTGTCTGCTGAGAAGTTCATGACTAATGATGATGTTGAGGAAAAGTTAAAGTCTCTTGTATTTGAAAAAGAGGAGCCATTTATAGTAGAAGGGGGAGTTTTCGAGGTTGACAAAATCCCTTTTATTCTGAATCTACCATCTTTTGAATGAGATATATCAGAGCCCGTTATTCTCGAATTTCCAGAATAAATACCTGTCAATAACTTGCAAGAGATACCCTGGAACTATGAGGAGTTTATTCTATTGATGGGAGATAAAAAATGCTTAAAGGAAGAGATATCTACTATTACCACGTTTGAGAGAATCGTGGGAAACTCCGAAATAGACGTTCAATCCAAGGCCAAGGTTAAATCTCCGACGCCCAAGTCTCTTGTGCTTGAAAATGAAGCCGTGGATTTCTTAAAGACACTGAAGAGAAGTGAGTACAAAATAGTGGAATAGTTGGATATGATGCCTGCTCAGATTTCTTTTTTGAATCTTCTTTTAACCTCCGACCTACACAGAGAAACATTATTCAAAATCCTGAATGAAGCTCAAGTCCCTAAAGATATTCCGGTGGATAAATTTTCTAACATTGTGGGGAATGTACTTGCTGGTAATCGTATTACCTTCTCTAATGACGATTTGACTGCAGAGGAGATCGGGTATAATAGAGCCTTGTATATATCAGTCCGGTGCAATGGAAAGCTGTTGCCAAAAGTTTTAGTGGATAATGGGTCAGCGTTGAATATCTGTCCATGGAACACTCTCACCAAGTTTGGATTTCTTGACATTAAACTCCGCCCATCTACAACTGTGGTTCGAGGATTCGATGGTTCAAGGAAGGGATCTATGGGTGAAATAGATTTGGTATTGGAGATAGGCCCTGCTCAATTTCAAGTTACTTGCCAAGTAATGGACTTTTCCAGTGTTTACAATATTTTGCTTGGAAGACTTTGGATACATGTTTCCAATTCAGCGCCATCTTCTCTGCATCAAATGTTGAGATTTATTGTGAATGATCAGCTCATTACTGTGTTTGCTGAGGATTACTGTACCATGATTGTTGATGCAAAATTCAAAGGTGAAGACAGAAAAGGGATTCCAATTTCATCTCATCATGTTATTGACATCGTCTCTGTGGGATGGGTATCCAGAGATAAGTTGCTGATTAAATCAGATTTGCCAGAGGCCAGTATCATGATGGCTAAGGAGATGATCCGAGACGGATATGAAATAGGAAAAGGTCTTGGGCGGGAATTGCAAGGAATTTTGGAACCAATAGAGATCCCGACGCAAAAGGATACATTTGGACTGAGATTTCATCCAACTGCTAAGGATAGAAAGGAAATGCAAGCTCGAAAACAAGCGGAAAAGAAGGATAAGCAAATTGTCTTAAATGTCCCACCGCTATATCACACTTTTCCTCGGCCATCAGAAATGATCATGCCAGAAACAAAAAATTCTGTGGAGGAGATTAAAGTGGACCTATCTCAATTATTTGTCGGGACAACTTGTGAGGAGGAGCCATCAGAGAATTCAGAATTTTTACCAATTACCGAAGAAGCCATTCAAAATTGGACTGCTAATTATCTTCCCCCTCGAAGGGAATTTCGGTAAAGTTAAGGGGATTGTCTTTTGTCTAGGTTCATATCTAGATTGGACGGTAGTTTGGATCTTTTGTTAAAATAAATTGCTTTTTTTTTTAAGCCTTATTCTCATTTCAGTTAATATAGCTTGTTTTGTTCAAGAAAATTGTTGAAACGAAAATAAAGGTTTGGGCTAGATATGTCTTTAAATGGCAATCATGTCAGTGTATTTGTCTTTTTGTGAAGTTTTGATGCATTTTGAATTTAATGAAATAGAAGATCTTTCATGAATTATTTATTTATTTATTACATATGTTCTATTTTATTTTCAGATGGCCACAAATAAAATCTTTTGACTCTTTGGATGTCACCATTTTGGAATTCGATGGCTGCAACCTCGATATTTCTCATGAATTTGAAATCATGCAATCTGAAATTCAAAACAAAAACGATATCGAGGAAGAATTTGAGTCTAGTTCAAGGGATTTAAAATAGTATGAAGAGAAACCCAAACCAAATTTAGAAGAAACAGAAATCATCAATATTGGCACTAAGACAGAGGTTAAAGAAGTTAAAATCAGCATTCATTTGAAAAAGAAGCAGAAAGAGGAAATGATCGAATTCTTAATGCTATTTCAAGACGTGTTTGCATAGTCATATGATGATATGCCAGGGATCTCTACGGACATAGTGGTTCACGGGTTGCCAACTAATCCAAATGTTCTACCTGTGAAGCAGAAGTTACGTAAATTCAAACCAGAAATGAGTCTCAAGATAAAAGAACAAATTGTGAAACAGCTCAATGCTAAGATAATCATGGTGTCCCATTATCCCATCTGACTATCGAATTCTGTGCCAGTGCCTAAGAAATCTGGGGAGGTGCGAGTATGTGTTGATTACAGAGATCTGAATAAGGCCAATCCGAAAGACGATTTTTCTTTGCCAAATATTCATATTCTTTTGGACAATACTGCTGGACATGAAATTGAATTTTTTGGTGATTATTTTGCTGGGTATCATCAATTTTAATGGCGGAAGAAGACAGAGAGAAAACCTCTTTTATCACCCCTTGGGGAACCTTTTGTTATCGAGTGATGCCTTTCAAGTTGAAGAATACTGGAGCTACTTATCAGAGGACCATGACTACCCTGTTCCATGACATGATTCACAAAGAGATGGAAGTTTATGTGGATGATATCATAATTAAATCCAAGAAGGTCGAGAATCATTTGGTTGATTTAAAGAAACTATTTGAAAGATTGAGAAGATATAATTTGAAGTTTAATCCTGCGAAATGTGCTTTTGGAGCCCCAACTGGCAAATTATTGGGTTTTATTGTCAGCAAACAAGGTATAGAGATAGATCCTGCGAAAATAAAAGCAATTTGAAATATGCCCATTCCTAAAACTCAAAAAGATGTGAAGAGTTTTCTTGGAAAGATCAATTTCATTGGCCGATTCATCGCACAGTTAACCTCTACTTGTGAGCCTTTGTTCGAATTGTTGAAAAAGAATGGGCCGATGGATTGGAATGAAAATTGTCAGCAAGCTTTTGATAAGATAAAAAATTACTTGTTAAATCCTCCGGTCTTAGTGCCACCTCAGCCAGGAAGACCTCTGATTATGTATTTGTCTGTTCTTGATGAGGCTGTTGGATACGTTCTGGGACAGCATGACAAGTTTGGAAAAAAGGAACAAGCCATCTACTATCTGAGTAAGAAATTTACAGCATATGAGGCCAACTATTCTTTCCTTGAAAGAAGTTGTTGTGCTTTAGTATGGACAGCTCAGAAGTTGGGGCATTATTTGCTCGGTTATACCACTTACTTGATTTCTCGTTCTGATCCTCTAAAATACTTGTTGGAAAAGTCGATGCCCACGGGACGTATGGCTAAGTGGCAAATGATCCTTTCCGAGTTCGACATTGTCTTCATAACACAAAAGACAGTCAAGGGTCAAGGCATAGCAGATTATTTGGCAGAAAATCTAAGAGATGATGATTACCAGCCATTGCATACCTACTTTCCTGATGAAGAAATTTTGTTCGTCGGAGCAGTTGAGGATATGAGTGACCAGTATCCTGGATGGAGGTTATTTTTCGACGGCGCGTCAAATTTTTTCGGAACTGGAATTGGAGCAGTTTTAGTGTCGCCTGAAGGGAAACACTATCCTGCTACTACCAAATTACGGTTTCCTTGTGCTAACAACATAGCTGAGTATGAAGCTTGTATTTTTGGATTGAAAATGGCATTGGATATGGAGATTAAGGACCTGATAGCATTCAGTGATTCCGATCTACTTGTGCACCAGACGCTTAAGCAGTGGGTAACTCTGGATTCAAAAGTTATGTTGTATCATTGTAGTTTGCTCAGTTTGACCAACAAATTCAGGAATTTGGAACTCAGACATATTCCCTGCACTGGTAATGCCTTTGCTGATGCTTTAACTACTCTGTCTTCGATGATCCAACATCCAGATGAGCTGGTGATTGAACCTATACATATTCAACTTCAGAATAGACCAGCGTACTGTCTGGTTACGGAAAGGGTCACTGATGGTCGCTCCTGGTACAATGATATTAAGGAATTCATGAAAATGGGATCCTACCCTCCTGATACTGATTCTGTTGCAAAAAAATTTTTACGCAGAATGTCATCAAGATTCTTCTTGAATGGAGATGTGCTATATAAGAAAACATTTGATTTGGGCCTTCTGAGATGCATCAATGAAGAGGAAGCCGGTTATATGATGAAGGAAGTGCATAGTGGGATTTGTGGGTCACACAGGAATGGGCATCTATTCGCTAAGAAGATCATGAGAACAGGATATTTTGGCTTACCATGGAGCATGACTGTGTAGATTTTGTTAGAAAGTGTGTTAAGTGTCAAATGCATGGTGATGTTATACGTGCTCCTCCCACAGAATTGCATAGTATGACTGCTCCATGGCCATGTTCGATCTGGAGAATAGATGTGATCGGAACTATTGATCCTCCTGCTTCAAATGGGCATCGATTCATCTTAATGGTGATTGAATATTTCACCAAGTAAGTTGAGGCCGCGTCCTATAAGCATGTGACTAAAAAAGTAGTGTTGGATTTCTTGAGAAATAATATCATCTGTCGTTTTGGGGTACCAGAGACATTGATCACCGATAATGTCAAGAACCTCAATAATGATATGGTGGATGGATTGTGTGAACAGTTCAAGATTAGACATAGAAATTCGGCCATTTACAGGCCTCAGATGAACGGAGCTGTTGAAGCTGCAAATAAGAATTTGAAGAAGATCATTCATAAAATGACTGAAACACACCAGAATTAGCATGAGAGACTGCCTTATGCACTGATGGCATACAGAACTGCAATCAGGACTTCTACCGGTGCAACTCCTTACTCTTTTATGTATGAAATGGAAGCAGTATTGCCTGCAAAAGTTGAAATTCCTTCCTTACGCATTCTGATGGAAGCTCAGATTGAAGAAACTAAATGGGTCAGAGAACGTCATGAGCAGTTGTCTTTGATTGATGAAAAGAGATTGAATGTCGTCTGTCATAGACAATGTTATCAGCAACGAATGCCTCAGGCATACAACAAAAAAGTCAAACCCCATTTGTTTGAACTTGGAAATAAGGTCTTGAAACAGATTCTTCTAATGCAAGAGGAGGCTAAAGGGAAGTTTTCTTCCAATTGGCAAGAACCATTCATTGTTAAGAAAGTGTTATCCGGAGGAGCGTTTATCCTTATGAAAATGGACGGTCAAGTTTTTCCCCAACCAATCAATGTAGACATATGTAAAAAGTTTTTCATTTGATTATAAAAAATTTTCTTTAAAAATTTGCAAGAGACGGATTAAGGCATACTCCCTCTCATTTTTTTTCCTTTTCGATATCCTATCCCTAATTTATTTTTTATTTTATTTTATTTTTTTTCCTTTTGACTTTTCAGAACCACCTTCCTGTTTCACTTGGCAATCCTTTAAGATCATTAACCCCATACTAGGGCAATTTTGTTTCTTCCAAAAAAAAAAAGAAAGAAAGAAAAGAGAAAAAGAAGAACAAAAAGCAAAAAAAAAAAAGAAGAAAAGAAAAATAGAAAATTTGGGTTAGAATTTAACTGGGGCAAAATTTTATCTCTTTCGACCCTAGATCGGAGCAAGTTTTTGAAAGAATGCTATCCCAAGTGATTGCAAACCCATTATATGATCCACTTTCAAGCCTCAACCTCTCCTTCACTACTTCATCCAATCCTATTTACAAGAGCTCAAAGTTGTCTACTTTCATCTTTTGCAGTATTTTGAGGAAAATTTTTTCTTAATCAATTGGCAAATGATGTAAATATAACTTTTCTGAAATATGTTAGAGAAAGTTGTCTCACTGATGCTACTTATTATCAGAATATGACTGGATTGATACAGTTGGGGTTAGAGTTGTTTTGTCTATGTCTTTAGGTGAAAACCTGAAAGGGCACCTTCTAAAAAAAAGGATAAAAAAAGAAGAAAAGATAAAAAAGAGAGAAGAATAAACAAAAGAAGAAAAAAAAAAGAGAAAAGGGTGGGGGCAACTTTAGTGAAAATCCAAAAAGGCGCTAAGGTAGGGTTTTGGAATACAAGAGAATCAACAACAAAGAAGAAGATTGCTGAGATCTGAAAACTGGTGACTATGTTGATTTGGGTCTCTTTCATACTATTGTTCTTTTGCCGACAATGAATTCCAAAATGGATGACGTCGAAGGGGTCAGATGGAGCATTTTTCCTCATCAAAGGCCGTCCTTTAAATATGAATCCAACTTTTGATCCGTGGACCTATATTCAAAAAATTCAACAATTTTGTTTTACTATTCTATTTACTATTTTATTTATTTATTATGTATCATTATTTATTTCATATTAGCATTATTGCATGATGAATAATATATTTTTTAATTATTTATGTTTCTCATTTATTGGGTCTCACTCAAAAGATAATCCCCTATAATTTATTCCAAAGGAGTCATGAAATTGAAGGTCCTATAATAATAAAGTATGGTCAATTGACATTTGACAGTTGCAAGGATTCTGAAGAGGTTGTCGATTGAACATAAGAAAGAAATTTGTCGATATTGAAACTCATGTTTACATGGCTCTCAAGGCAAAGGGATCACATGGTGGTGGCAGTGTTTCTATCACAGTTGTTTCTTTTCCTTGTTCCTTTTTGCAAGAAAAATTATGTGACACAATACTGGTTTAGTTGAGTATAATTCATACTGGGGCAAATGGTAGAAGGATGGGGCTCCGAACTTCGCTGTACATCTCTGAAAAAAGGAAAGAAAAATCATTATTCCTTCTCTTTTAAAGTCCGAATAATCAAGAAAAGTTATAAGTCCACCAAGTAAGTTTGTCTTGGTTTATTACCTTTTGAGCAACATGCATTCTGATTTTTCAGTTCGATAGCATTGAACTTGTATTTTCATTTCTTCCGCTAGCTATTTGGGTTCGAGTTTAATCCGACCCATTATCTAGGTTTCGAGCATATTTTCATTCTCTCGATAGGTATTTGGGTTTGGATTCAACTCCATTGAACAATCTAGATTCTTGATAATTTAATTTCTTATTGGTGAGTCTCAACGTCTACCGCGTACCCTTCTATCTCCCTTCTTGACAATTTAAATTCCTATTGGTGAGTCTAAACGTCCACCACGCATCCTTCTATCTCCCCTTCTTGATAGATCAGAAGATCAAATTTATTTTTCTGTTGGTGAGTCTCAGCGTCCACCGTGCACCCTTCTATCTCCCTTCTTGACAATTTAATTTTCTGTTGGTGAGCCTCAGCGTCCACCGCGCACCCTTCTATCTCCCCTTCTTGACAGATCAAAAGATCAACTTTAATTTTCTGTTGGTGAGTCTCAGCGTCCACTGCGCACCCTTCTATTTCCCTTCTTGACAATTTAAATTCCTGTTTGTGAGTTTCAGCGTCCACCGCGCACCCTTCTATCTCCTTTCTTAACCCTTCTATCTCCCTTCTTGACAATTTAAATTTCTGTTGGTGAGTCTCAGCGTCCACCGCGCATCCTTCTATCTCCCTTCTTGACAATTTAATTTCTTGTTGGTGAGTTTCAGCATCCACCGCGCATCCTTCTACCTCCCTTTCTTGACAGATCAGAAGATCAAATTTAAATTTCTGTTGGTGAGTCTCAGCGTCCACCACGCACCCTTCTACCTCCCTTCTTGACAATTTAATTTACTGTTGGTGAGTTTCGGCGTCCACAGCGCACCCTTCTACCTTCCCTTCTTGACAGATCAGAAAATCAAAATTTAAATTCCTGTTGGTGAGTCTCAACGTCCACCGAGCACCCTTCTATCTCCCTTCTTGACAATTTAAATTTCTGTTGGTGAGTCTCAGCATCCACCGCGTACCCTTCTATCTCCCTTCTTGATAAATTTAAATTTCTGTTGGAGCGTAACCGCGTCCCTCCGCGCATCTTTTTCAAAAAAAAATTGCATTTAATTTCCTGTTGGAGCGTAACTGTGTCCCTCCGCGCATCTTTTTCTAGTTATGACAATTTACTTTTGTGTTTTATCATTCATTTTTGTGTTTCATGTTTAGAAGTTCTGAGAGCTCAGACTTCTTTGACTTCGCAAAGATCACAAATGGTCAATGTACTTGTTTCATTATGGTTCACTGGTATTCGAACTACGTTTGACATGATTCCCATGGCGGGATACATAGACAACTCTACATGAGTTCAGTCACATTTTTTTGAAATTTCATTGCATCATTTTGTTCAATAATTTCAGCCAATTGTTGGCTTGATATTTTAGTTCAGGTGCAGTTAGAAGACACAGATAAGTGACTTGGTGTCTACTTCTTTGTCTTGAATTTCTTCGAAACTCTAGACAAAGAGGAGCAAGCTATATACACCAAAATTTTGTTAAAATTTTAATGTTTTCTTGAATACTTTTTATTGAAATATTTATTTTCTTACATTTTTTATATATTGACAGATTTGTTTCTTTAAAAAAAAGAAAAAAATAAAGAAAGAGGAAGCGGCGTTGGCCATCATGATGGCCACCAAATTTTGTTTTGACCAAGCTTTGGCGGACAAGATTCCAGAAAGGAATGGAAAAGGCAATGAAAAAAGGCCAAAAAGCAAAAGAAGAAGGAAAAGGAGCTTTTGGCTTCCATTATTGGCACTTTCTCTTGGACAAGATAAAGGGACAAGAAGCACGAGAGAAAGGAAGGAAGCAACGGAAAGAAAAAAGCGGCAACGGATCCAAGAGAAAAAATTGCAAAGAAGGGCTCTTAAGATTACCTTTAAGACCTCTCTCTTGGCCTTTTCTTTGGGGACTCTTGACAGACAAGCAAAAAGGAAGCAAGAAAAAAAAAAAGACTCCACCCTTGCTCCAGCATATACCAAGCTCTCGGCTCTCTCCCAAAAAGAGGAGACAAGACACAGATAAAAAACAAAAGGGCTCTCCCCTTTGGCTTTCCTTGAGCTTTCAACGGACAGAAAAAAGCCAGACAAAAGAAATTTTGGGTGCTCGAGGCTCCTGACTCTCCATTTTTCTTCGGCTACTAACACATTCTCTCCTTCATTGAGGTACTTATTTTTTTTTCTTTTTCAAACCTTCCTTTCCTCAATTAATCAGATTAAATTCATGCTACCATTTATTTGTCCCTTGCTTTCGTTTGTTGTTGTTGCTACTAATGTTGTTGAAGTTTTGGGGTAAAGCCATGAATAAACATTAAGAAAAAGATGATTTCTGTGAATGCATGTTAGGTGTTTGTAAAAATGCAAAAAAATGGAAAGCGAATTAAAAACTGAATATTGTGCATGTTTTTCTTGTCAAAATAGATAACCGTTGGCAAGTATAGGTCTGAAAATGTTGGAATTTTCTAAATATTTTGGAGTTTTTGAGCTTTAAAGGCATTGAAGTAGTTTTCTTCATTTAGGGGCTGTTTTTGCTTTAATTTAACCATTTTATGTTGTTTTCTTGTCAAATTAAAATCATAATTGTATTATAGAAGTTGTAAGAGTGTTGTAGTATAATTTTTATGATTTTTGGTGAAAGATAGGGTGATTTGAAAAATAAAAACTGTAGCTGTTTTTTGGCATTTTGGCCACCTTCAGGTCATCCTTTGTAAAAATTAACTCCGAAAATGGAATCTACGCGAAAAATAGAGTGAAGGGGTGTATTTGGGCAATTTTTGGCCACCGGAAAATTTGCCGGTGGCCGCCGCCGCCGGCAGCTGCCATAACGGCTGGGAAGTGGAGGAAGAAGGAAGAAAAGAAAAGAAGGAAAGAAAAAGGATGGGTTGGGCTAATTTTTATTTGTTTTGTGGGCTTGTTTCTTATTTTTGGTTGGGCTAGAAGGTCAAACCCATGTTTTATTTTGGTTGGATTTGAGTTATAAAAGATGGGCTGGCCTGTGTGTTTTGGCTTGGACTTTTGGCTGGACTTAGGTAGTATCTGGTCCAAGCGCCTATTGGGTTAGGAAGACCAGAAATGAATTTGCTCTTTAATTCCTGTACTTTTACTTTATTGTATTGTGACCCTAAATACTTTAAATTTCTTTCAATTAGGTCCTTAATTAATTGCAAATAGGTCCATAAACTTTATTTTTCTTTAATTTTGACCCCAAATTTTTGTAGTAATTATAATTTAACCCTAAAACTTTATTAATCTTTGCAATTAGGTCCGTGACAGATTTGATTTCTTAAATAGAAGTTGCTTTTCTTCGTAGATTATTAATTATATTCCATTTGAATGATTCAACTGATTGATTTCATATTTATTTTCATTTTTTATGATTTATTTATTAATTAAATTGGTGCC